ATAATCATCATCAAACATCAAGATATCCACCAATGACAGGACAAGAAGAATATCAACGAAATAATTATACAAATTCTGTATCGAAATCAATTGATTCACAATTAAATTATCGTTCATCAAAACCAAAACGTTCTGTTGAATGGGATGAAGAAAATATTCAACAGAATGAAGGTAAATTTAATTTAAAAACAAAAAAGAACTATTCTTTATAAAAGATAGATCTCATTCTATGTACTAATAAGCATATAAAAGAATAAATAAAACTTCTTTTTTTTTGCCCATAGAACTCTATAAATATGCATTAGTACCATATAGCGGTAAAGAAAAATCCTCAAGTTCTTTTTTTCTAAACACTCAATCACATACACATAGTATATCATAGTAGTTTATTATTATTATTATTTTTTTTTCTATTCGTCCGTCCTCTATCTGTAGTTACACATATTTAGTCGAATTTTTCACTATACACATTGCATATTTATTTTTCGTACTTTTTATATTTAGTGATGTCTTTTTTTTTCTCTATTTAGGATCACAACATCGAAGTAAATTGTTATTGTTAATTTTTATATATATTTCTTTTTCATATTAGATAATGGAAATTATGATAATCAACATCGTTTACAACGACATCAACATCCAACGGATGGAACAAATGATTATAATTCTCCATCATTACCACCACAATCATCATCTAATGTATATCAACAAAATTATGGTCTTAGTCGAAGTGCTGCATTACCTGAATCTCATCATCATTCACGTCGTTCGAATAGTTATACAATGTCAAATAGACAAATGAATAATGAGAATGATATACATGAGGGTATGAAAAAAATAATTTTTGTTTTTATTAGATGATTTATTGTATTAATACAGATCGTCATCATGGTCGTCATCGTCAACAAAGTATTGAAACAACTAGGTAAGATAAATAATTAGTATGATTAAGAATTTATTGTTTGTTTGTTTTTTTGTTCTTGATACAGTCCACGACGTCCTTATGCTCCATCATCTATTACTGATATTCATTTAAATGATATAATTAAATTTTCTCGACCGGGTGGTAAAATTAGTAAAGGTGTTGTTAAATATATTGGTCCATTATCAGGCAAAAATGATCAATATCTTGGCTTAGAATTAGAAGATGAAGGTAAAAAAATAAAGATGGAATATTGATTTTTTTTTTTTTACTTCTACAAAATAATATTTTTTTCGTTTACAGAAAGTAAACATGATGGTATCTATCAAGGTGAACGTTTATTTCAATGGTAAGAAGAAAATAAAATAAAATTTTATTTAATTATATTTATTTTCTTTATTTTAGTAAACCAAATAAAGGAGTATTTGTTGGTTTTAGCAAAGTGATTATGGCATGGAGTGGAAAATAAATAATTCATTATAGACATGATAACATCACTATATAGTTGCCTTTTTTTTTTATATGTACATATAGTTAAACAATCGATCTCTTCCTTTCATCAGCATTTTCTTTTTCGGATATGAATATCTCAAATAGTCTTATATACTCAATTTTGAATCACTGAAATGAAGAAGAAAAAAAACTTCCGTATCCATGAAAACTGATAGAAGTATTCTGAATACAAATATGTTTTGTTTTCTTGTGCCTTTTTTCTATACATTTTATTGTCAAAGTAGATAAAACTAATGTGAATTTTCTCGTGTTTTATCTCCCTTATTATAATCTCTTCGGTTTTTTTTTCTCTTTTTTTTTCTGAATCGTATTTTACGTAGAATGGATTGCTCAAAATATACAGTGACAATCTATATTTGTTTAAAGAAGAATTAAGTTATTATATTACCAATTACATATATGATAATCTTTTAGAAAACATCCATACGGAATATTAATATTAGTTTTTCCATCAGATAATTGTTTATAAGTATCAATAATTGGATCAAGAACACGTGCTGCAGCATCATCTTCATCAAATGGTGTTTGAAAATCTTGATCAATCATTGATTTTATTACTTGTTCTGATGAATTTTCATCTTTAATCAAACCTAGAAAATTAAAATAATCAAAATTTAATCTTTTTAAAAGAAAATTATTCTATATAAATGAACCTGTATCAACAGAAATCATATAGATATTTGATTTTAAATAATCTATAGCTGATGTACGTGTCATCATATTTAATGCAGCAAAAGCTGCATTTGTATGTGGATGTTGATCAGTTTTATTTGAATGAGAAAATGAACTTTCCATAGTTGATACATTTATAATAAATTTAATACTATCAGGATTTGGATGTTTATTATCCATAAGTACTTTAAGTTTACTATTGAGAATAAATGGTGCTAAAGTATTTATAGTAAAAACTTCATTTATTTCAATTGTTGATAAATCATTAAGATGTGATAAACAAGAATTTGTTGAACGAAAATCAATCGATTGTTGATTTACATCAAATGAAGTATTATTAATTATTAAAGATGTTTGTTTAGAACTATCATTAGAATTATTTGTATAAGGTAAATATAGTGGATATGATGATGACGATGATGATGTTTGTTGAATTCGATTAGAAAATGGTATTAATCGTTCATAGAATTGTAGATTTCCATTTAAAATCTTTTGTTGATCATTAGATAAAAGAGAATAATTAATTAATCTTTCATGATTAAATAAATCTTGATAAAATTCTTTTGATTGTTGAATTGTTTGACAAACATTATTAATTAAAAAATCTAATCTATCATATTTTTCAATTAACATTTTTGTAAATAATTCTACAAGTTGTGAATATCGAAAATCAATTTCATAAATATGTATACGATCTTTCCATTGTTCAAAATCTTGTTCTTTATTTAAACGATTTAAAAAATCTATTGAAAATCGACTTGTTGTTATAACAAAACAATTAGCACGTAATAATTTTAAAACAATTCGATAACCAATTTTAATTCGACCATTAGTAACTAAAGCAATACAATTTGTAAGATCAGTTGTTTGTAAACGTTTTTCATAATTTAATTTTGCACATGATGGACAAAGTTGATCATAAAAAAAATGTAATGTATGATATTTTTGTTTACATATATAACAAAATTTTAATTCAGTTAATTGTTGTATTATGTGATTGTCGTTATCTTCATTTTTTGTTTCAATTTGTTCAATAGTATCAGGTACAATAGTATGTTCTAATTGAAATTGTTGAAATTTTTTAGCTCGACGCAATCGAATTGTTTTTTGATCAATTAATTTTATTTGACGATGATTATTTTGCTTTTTGTTTTTTTTTAAACCTTTTCCAATATGATATAAATTATGTATTATTGGTCTAATACTTTGATATTCATCTGATTCAATTGATAAATATTCATTGTTTTTAGTAAATGTTGAAAGAACTTTTATACAAGTTGTTAAATCAGTAGATGAAATTGAAAGTGATGATGATGATGACGGTTCATCTATGGACATGACGAGATTTTTGCTTTAATATGAACTAAAATACATTAAGCTCTTTCTTTTTATTGTTATACAAACATTTGATGATGAAATTGGCTGATGCAAAAAGCAAAAAAACATATGAAATATTTATTTATCATAAACTTCTGTCGTAATTTCGCAATATAGTTACGTATAATGTATCAGTAAGAACAGAAAATATAATGTTTTACATAGAAATGACTCAGAATACTAATCGAAAACTGTAATCTCTTCCATTTCTCCAAATGAAAACGCAATTTTGTTAGAAAATAAATACATTGGAGATTTGCTTTAGGTTGGATCTTTCATAAATATACTTTTTCAGAAAAACTAACAAATCTTTTTTCGTTTTTTTGTCTATTCATGTATTTTCGAATTCTCGAAGTAGATATATTGTAGTCGATTGCCCTCCTTTTTTTTTAATGTGAAAAAGGATATGAAATTACACTGCCTCGCAGAACCCATTTTTTTAATTAAACTTCTTTATACTTGTATAAAAAGGCACGTCTATAAATAGGTGATTATTTTTCTGGGTATTGAACTTGTAATCCTTTTCCTTGACATAAAAAGTAAGAATTTAAAAAAAAAAGAACTCTGTCAGGTACTGCACTTTGACATACTGTTTCAAATAAAAAAAAACCGATTTAAAATATAGAATAATGGTCTACAGAGAATTTTGAATTATTAAATGAGCTATATTTGACTCTCGTTTGTTAAATATCTCACAACAACGTCATGTTTTAGAGTTGAATATTTTATATGATTTGAATGTACCTGGCTCAAAGTTGATTTTTGAGGATTAAGGGAAGCTTAAAACGAGATTTAAATCTAATCTTTTATCTATGCAACAAATTTTTCTCTATAGAAGATATCATGACAAATGATATTTGATATAGAATCATAAAATTTTAGTTCATTTCTATTCTTATGATTCTGTTTTTCATAAAATATATATTTAATGAAGTAAAATGTACTTTATCAATGTCACATCGAATAATGATTGATCTATTACTTTTAATAATAATCCAAATATTAAAAGTTTTATAGATAATTGATAAATATAAGAAAGAAGATTACACAAAATATACTCGAGAGAAAAAACTCTGTTTAACAATGAAATGTTTATATTGATGCAGAATCAATTATAATCAAACCTACATAATATATCTAATTTATTCACATAAATCAGTTAAATTTACTTCTAAATTCTAAAAGAAGCATAGTAAAATAAAAAACATGACAGTTGAGAAGTTATGAATTGAATTAAGTATTAAATAGATCTTTGTTTATGCTGAACTTTTTTTTTTGGATGTAATGAAATAGAATCTAGTTCTAAATGAAATTATACAAGTATCCTGTCGAATTCTGTCAAATGACGTAACATGACTGACGTAACATTTGTTTTGATATCAATCGTCATTTGTTACTTGACTTTCATTCTGAAATCATATATAGTCATGTTTTAAACAAATAATTGAAAGAACAAGATCTACTTTCTCGTTTTTTCTTTTGTTTGCATATTCTCTATCAAGTTTATTATACAAATATGTCGAGATATTTCATTATTAGTCTACTATTTATTACTAGTAACTCAATATTAAAATAATTTTCTATGTTTTAATTATTTCATTATTGTTTAGATATTAATTTTTCAATTGGTTCTTATATTCGTATATGTAATCAAGGTATTTATTTAGCTAAATGTTATCTTGAATCACAATCATATACTTATGGACTTCAAAATTATAAATATGATACAGGATTATTTCCAATATATCAATGTTCAAAATTAGATATACCTTTTGATGCTGTTTGGAATTATCTTGAATGTAAAGCTCTTACATTTATTGCTATTTATAGTACAATTTTTATACAAGAATTTTCTTCAACAATATTTAATACTTGTTATACAATTACAGGAACTATATTAAATCCAACATGGTCAGAAATAAGATGTTAATACAATGTTCTATATCTTTTGAATTTTACTTTTCTATCAATAAGAAAAAAAAAGAATATAAAAATAATGAAATATATATTTATCTTGAGAAATAATCAAACTTGTTAAATGCATTTCTAAGTAAAAGTCTTTCCCCTTCACCTCATTCTTTTTGTATAGGACGCCTTTGGTCTCAAGTGAATGTTAGTTATAAGGCTAGTTCAAGTACTTTATTGATGACAATTTGCTTCAGTGAACAATATACATCGTTCAATACAATTGAGCAATACTACAAATGAGTTGGTTGACAGAATATTGTCTTTTCTATATCTACTAGCTGTTTTACTGGTTTAGGTCATTAAACTCTTTTCGTCGACGACTCGAAGCTTTTCCAAGAATGTGGTATAGACAATTATACAAAATACAGATAAAACCTAGTAAAACATTCAGGAAATATCAAAAAACAAGAGATAACTCAGTCATGAAAGTATTCTATCAACCAACTCATGTGTACTATTGACTGATTGTATTGAATGATATACATTCTTCATTGAAGTTGGCCCTAATCAATCATACACCATAGAAAAATACAGCATTTAAACCATTCTTATAACCAACATTCCCTTAAGATCAAAGGAGTTTGATAAAAAGGAATGAGAGGAAAGACTTTAGATGGCGGATGTAACAAGAAAATATGTGGCATAGATAATATTATTTTAATATTTTTATTTTAATATAATTTATTAATGCATGGTTATGTTTTAGTTTTTTGTTGCATGCTTCATAAATACTTCCAAATTTGATTCAACATCTATCCAATATGCATTATTATTAAATTATTGTTTATTTTAATTATCAGATACTCTTTTTTTTTTAAAGTTGAGAATGATCTTTCGAAGATCGAAAATATACTATCTTAAGAAAATTCAATGATGCATAAACATATACTCTAAACTGTAAAATCGCTCATATCAATGTTTGAAATCGTACATATTCTTATATAAATTATTACACGAAAATTTATGTGATTCGATTGTTACGATAGAAACGATTTAAGAAATCGTTGACTTTGTAATACTCGATAACTAGTGACATCTAATCAAATAAATTATTATGTTTTTCAATATATGCCTACAATTAACGTAGCGACGTAGACATACTGTGTTATGTTTCGTTCATTGCTTAACCACTTGACCGAAAGACTAGGATAAATATGAATCATATATGTTATTCGTTGTAGTTCTAATTCCAACGAGATAGATTGGTCGTTCTATTTTCCTGTCCATTAGGTCGCACAAAAAAACATAGAGAAAAATTAAAACAGCATTTTTCTTCTTTCCTTTTTTTTTTTCTTTTTTGCTAACTAGAAAAACAGCCTTTATTTTCAGTCTTATAAAAACCTTGAGTCAATACAAGGAAAAGAAAATAGCATACTAACTGTGAATAGTCGTTAATTCTCTGGAAAAAGATAAAATCTTTTTTTTTCTTTTACTCTCAATAGAACAGCATGTTCATTGACTGTTAAATTACACTTTTTTTTTTTTCTCTATTTATTAATTCGTCTATATCATGCTGTGTATGTTTTTGTTTTGTGTTCTTATTTCTATTTAACAAAAAAATTTATTTTATTTTTTTATTATTTCGTGTTCGGGTGAATATAGACGAATCAAACAAAATAAACAAAAAAAGAAAAACAACAATGACGACCAGTGATGGCGTCACACTTCGTCATCCTTCAATACCAATTGTTGATGCTCATCCACGATTAGATATTGATACAATATCAATTCTTAGTTCACAATCTGATAGTGTTCAACATTTATCATCATATGTTGAATCAGATGATGAAGGTAAAGGTTTAGTTGGAAGTAATTCATCACGTTTACATGATGCAATAAATCAATCGTCATCATTAACATCAACAACATATCAAAATCAACCAGCAGCATTTAAAAAAGATTGGACTATGTATTTAACTAAAACAAATAATGGTAACCATAATAAACATCGTTATAATAATAAAAATAATAATAATCAAAGCTCAAGTGATACAAGTGAAAGTGATCATAATGAATCATCATCAAGTATATCGAATAATGATGATGAAAGTGAACAAGATATTGTTGATGATCCATGGACTATAAATAATGTACAACGAGAATATTATACAAAACAATTTAAAGATATACAACCAGATATAACAAAAGTCATTTCTGGTAAATTAATTTTAAATAATAAAGAAAAGAAAAAAAATTTTGTTGGTCTTTCTCTCTCACTCTCTTTTCTTATTTAGGTAATATAGCGAAAGAATTTTTTGAACGTTCACGCTTACCAACAAGTGAATTATCACAAATATGGAATTTATCTGATGTTAATCATGATGGTGCATTATCACTTGCTGAATTTTGTACAGCTATGCATCTTGTTGTTTTACGTGTTAATGGTTTTGAATTACCCGATGAACTTCCATTACAATTACAACCATATACACCACTTATTGATTTATCTGATTCAACAACAATATTATCACAAACAAATGAACAAACAGAAAATTGGGCAAATTTTAAAGATACAAAGAGTGATTTAAAAAATTCTATAACAACAAATATTGATGATAATACAACTTCACCTAAACAATTTATGTATGGACCTCCATTAGCTGACAATAATCGTATTGTAGCACCAGTACCTGTTCGTCTTTCATCAACACCACCACCAATACCACCACCGATTGTTGTTCCAACAATAAAACCACCTCCACCACCACCACCACCTCGTGCACCTGGTCGTACAGCATCTGTTGATGTACCTCATCAACCTACATTACCTCCACGTACAAATATTAATGATACTCCTCAACGTAACATAATACAAACAACAACAAATAATATTCATAATAATAATAATAATAATAATTCATCATCATCATCAACAACAACAACACCATATCTTTATAATCGTACACGTCCATCAATAGCATCAACACCACAACAATCGGATGCTAATTTTTTATTTGGACAAATACGAGATTTACTTCAACCTGATCATTTACAAGAATTAGCATCAATTATATCAACACCATCAACAACAACAATTGAAAATCTTCATATAGCATTAAATCAAACAAAAACTCGAAATTCAGTACTTAAAGCACAACTTAAACATTGGGAAGATCAGCTGACAGATTTAATTGATAAACGTATCTCATTAGAACTTCAATATAAATTACAACAACAACAACAACAACAGCCATAACTCTTATTTTGTTATAATCGAGCTCTTTTTTTCTTCTTTTCGCGCCTATATAGATGTATAGAAAGAAAGTCTATATTTTTCTTTTTTCTTTTTTGGTTCGATTCAATCGGCAATTGTTTTTGTTCTTATTTTGCTCAATGTATTTCTTCATAGCCTTTTCTTTTTTGTCTGGAAACAATAATTTTCTCTCTCTTTCGTTTTTTCTCGGTTTGTTGTTTTTTGATTCTTCTCAAGAGTTTATACTCATCTGTCAACATGTACACATTTATTATGATATATATATATATAGATATAAATATATATTCTATGGTCCTTTTTTTTTTGTTTTTCTTTTATTCGAATTCATCGAATGATAAAAAACATAGATTTGAAAATTTTCAATTTTAATATTTATAAAAAAAAAAAAAGATCTCAATTGCATATAATCAGATAGATAATGAAAGCAGAACATTAATGAAAAAGTTATAAAACTTTAGATTTAAATTCTTAATCAATAGATTGTGTTTTTTTTTGAATTTATTCTAGATTATTCAATTAACAGATTTCTGTCAAGTATTAATTCTATTATAGTGTTGTATGTAAAAACATAATCACGAGAGGGCTATTCTAACTGATACCTATGGTTTGAGCCCATATTGTGCCTACAAGAGGGCGTTGGTGAGACGAGCAAAAGTCTTAAAAGTGTTCGTTCAGACATTTCACATAAATCGAGTTTACTTAAAAATTTAATATCTCGTTGAAGAATATTTTCTTTGGTTGAAACTTTTAGGATATTCTTAGAGTCGTCAAATTTATCTATGAGCAAAATTTTAGGTCGAAAATTCAGTAAAATGTTCATAACTGAGCTCCAGAGTCTCATGGAGACGAACCATTTTAGGCTTTTCCTAATCTCACTGACACACCCTTATAGGTACAACATGTGCTTAAACGATAGACATCAGTTAGAGATAGTTCTCTCGTTAGCAAATTATCTGATCAATTCAATGAAATCCGAAACATTTTTTAAAAAACCTCATAAAAACTAAAGTATTTAATATTTATTCTTCTTATTGTAACTTTTAATTGTAGATGACGGCTAGCTCATAATAAACATTACAATATGTTTTTCTCTTTTCAGAACACTAGAAACTTTGTTTTAGGCTCATTCGATAAAAAGTTTTCTGCTCTACAAAACTATGATTTTTGTTTTTCGAATAAAGTGTATTTTCGTTAGCGCAAAATTTATAAGATAAACAACTATTCAATCGTGTAACTGTAATTTCTGATTTTCTTCAAATATCTATTGATTTCTGCCAGGAACAATACTAAAAGTAAAGTATTTGGCACTGATAGGTAGCGATTTTTGTGCTCTCTGCTTCCACGATCTTTTCCAGATTTCTGTTGTTCAGAAGAAAAAGGCTAGTGCACGGGTTACATGAATTTCGGCTCACGGAATTTTCAGGCCGGTCCAAAACTCCTTTAAAACTTTCGGTCCGCCCTTAAACTGATCTTATTGATCCCTAAAAAAAACTTTTTTTAGTTAGTTGATAGATATTGTAGTGCTGAGCCGGACGGTATAGTGCTCAGTAAGATGACACAATACTAAGCAGAACGCTATAACTATAGTATCATCTAAATTCATCCTGTAGAGCACTAGATCATCTCGCTTAGCACTACGTCATCTTACTCGGCATTATCATGTCCGTCCCAAATTTTTTTAAAGAGTCAATGAAGTCAGTTGAAGGACGGGCCGAAAGTCCAGGCCGAAATTTCGCTCTCCCAGTGAT